TTTATCCCACAAATAATTACATGTATTCATCTTTATGTTAAAGATAAAATATTATTTGCGCAAGTTATGGTTTATACTAGTTTTGGTATAAATATTTGTGATATACATATTGTTAAAACAAACACAATCTATGTTATAAAATCATAAGAAAATTTATGGTTGTAAAACTACATGGTTTTTGGAAACCTTTTCTAAAAGATACTTTTTCTAGCAAAAATGATTACATTATAGCCATTTACTAATTTAGTGGGTGTTAACCCAAAATATTATGTTTTGATTTCATATCTTCATACTAGACGAAAATACACATTCACATTTATTTAAAAGATTATATAAATAGTTTCAAACAAACAAGATCAACCATAATTGGTATAGTCTGAAAGTTACAAACCACACCTACATTTTAGAAGATACATAAAATTGTTCAAAGATATACTTATTTCGTTTTACAAGAAAAAGGAGTCATAGTTCACGTAAATCAGTTCATGCAACAATCCAAGAGGCTAATGAGTTGAAAGTGTTTCAAAGAGACGGGGTTGGGGCATATCAGTCATATTAGCATGGTTATAATAACTCACACAGGGATTAGCGAAACTACTTGGTTTACGGGAAGCTTACACTTCATTAGTTTTATAAAAAGAAATAAAACTATATACTATTTTCAGTACAACATTCACTTACATCTTGGTCTTAGGGTTTAAGACTACAGTTTACCTTTAAGAAAATATCGGATTTTCTTGAAACATACATTATTACTTTACAAGGAAATGGTACAAAGGAATTACATACAATTACAGTTCATATTAAAGAAAATATCGGATTTTCTGGAAACACAGATTATTACTTTACAAGGAAAAGATACAAAGGCATTATATACAATTATAGTTCATATTTGTCACACCCCCAAACCGAAACGGCGGAAACGTTCGGGGGCGGAGGACGTCATGTATAGTATCACAACAATTGAATAATAGTAATCAAAACAACAACAACCATTGTATTAATAGTATTAGGTTTACATTACATTTGAATCATACACGATTGACTCCAAAAGTAAATAACAAGTAAAGACTCGAAACTACAATGCTCCGTCTTCTTGAACCCGGTGTGTGTACCTGTCTACTAATGTCCTGAGAATACAAGTAGGTTTTGAAAGAGTATCAGCAGAAAGCTGGTGAGTTCATAAGCGTTTTGTTTTGGAAAAACTGTTCTTTGATCATTCGAAAAGTGTGTTCTGTTTCTCCAGAAAAACCTTATATTTTCTGATGTAGTTAAGTAAAAATGATTCTTACATGTTTTTCCTGCGAGTACTTAGTGTAATACAAATTATATACAATCCAGATCAAACAAACAGTCGATTGTGTGGTTCTGCCCCAAGCCCACAACCAAACAAGGAACAGGAAATGGGGCGGAGATCACACATCCCACTGCAAGTCGGGTCCTCATGTATATAATCCTGAAGTATTCACTAGATACTTACAAAGTTGACTGTATTGGTCCTTTGATATCTGTTGATATTGTTCCTCAAGAAAATCCATTATTTTCTTATGAAAAGCATGATTAACCCATTCCTTCTATGACTACTTAGTTCATACTAGTTACGTATAAACCAATATCGGATAGACGGTTAATTGTGTGGATCTGCCCTAAACCCACAACCAAACAAGGAACAGGGAATGAGGCGGAAACCACACATTCCACAGTCTATCAGATACACTTCATACGTAACCCGGATGTATAAACTAAGGAGTCATGGAATTAATATTGAATATTCGTTAGTTGAATAATGAACCAACTGTTTATAATGTATTGATGTTTACCCTGAAAAATCCTATATTTTCCCTAAGTGTAAGTTGTTGAATTATCTGATCCAAAATCGTAAAGTACAAGTATCTACCATACTTATGTTGTTTAAGAATTGTTCCGTTTGAAAACCTTTAAATGAAAACCTTTGTATGAATACCATAGTGTGAATACCCTCATGCGATCACTCAGTACATACGAGTTATAGAAATCTGGATCAGACAAACAGTCGATTGGGTGATTCTGCCCTAAGCCCACAACCAAACAAGGAACAGGAAATTAGGCGGGGATCACACATCCCACTGCAAGTCGGAATGTTAATTTCATATTACCCTAATGTACATACTAAGTCATCACATAGTTACTAACCTTGTTGACTGATTGTTAGGTGTATTATTACGTAAATATATCTGTGTTATCTACTTGCGAGTTTTATGACCATGCTAAACTGATATGGCACGAATCGGGCACCAGTATCCTTTATGACTTTGTCACCCGTAGACCTGCCGGTCCTACTGTAGCTAGCAGCAAGGTGCGGGATTGTTAGTCCCGTATAGATCTATACACAAACTCACGCTATCCCTCGAGGAGACTCTGGATCATAAGGGTAGTCCTCCACTTAGTTATGTTTGTAAGCGCCCAAGGACGTGTCTCCAACTAGATTAACGACTTTACAAGTAATAATACAGGAAAACCCTTTTTATAAATAACGGAGAGGTTTATAAAAGATAAGTTTGTAAACCGTTTAATGAATTCTCAACTATACCTATTATAGTTTGTGTGTTTGTATATAAATAATCATGTATTGATCTGAAACTATGTGATTAAGCTTGTAAGTTGAAAACGTCCCCTATGCTTAGCATAATACAGAAGGGATAAAATATCTAAATATTTTATAAAAGTATAGAAACTGTATGTTTGTATCGATTGCATCCGTTTTAAGTTTATTGAAATCCTTTTGTATAAATTCCATAAAATCATTTATGTTTGGCTTGTATTCCCCCCTGAAAACATTAAAATCTCGGAAAATGTAGGGGTATGAACTCACCGTTGTTGTGTGAAAACGTCGACTGGAAACGAAGATCATCGGGTTGTTTGTACGTGACACTTAACGGAATCCTAATATCAATAAATACATATATGCATCTAAATTAGCGATTTCGTTAGGTAAAGTGTTAGAAAAACACTTGTTTTCGGTTAAGGAATGTTACCGGGACTTGATTGAATCGAGAAAACGAATTTTTCACTACTTAAGAGGCGTGTACGGCCGTGAACAGGGGTGTACGGCCGGACAAGCAGTGTACGGCCGTGAACTCTTCTTTGAGGGGTGTACGACCCTTTGCAGATTTGAAGGGTGTACGTCCGTACACTCAAGAACAAGGGTGTTTGATTTCGAAGAAAATGTGTTCCAGATGCTCCCAATCGATTCCAAATGACGATTTTCGATGTTTTTCGGAAGAAAAGAGGTGTTTTTAGTGTGTACGGTCAGAAGTTCTAGAGAGAGAATGAGAGAGTTTTCGGCCAAGAGTGTTCAAATGAAGGTGGGGGTCCTGTATTTATAGGCTGGGGGTATGGTCGATGGTGGGGTCCACCTGGCACCAGCCGTGAACGGGTGTGCGGCCGTACACAGGTGTGCGGCCATACACTCACTTAGGCCAAAAACTGATTTGTTTTTCAAGGACTTCGGGTTTTCGCGTGATTTGGTTCCGAATCGCTTATATAAATTTAGTTATATAAAACTAGATGATTACCTAAACCATGAAGTTTTGATGGAAACTTAATAATATTCAAATTTTATTAACGGAATTAGGATAACGGAAACGGAAAAAGGTTCGGGTTGTCACAATATTAAAGAAAATATCGGATTTTCTGGAAACATACATTATTACTTTACAAGGAAATGTTACAAATGAATTACATACAATTACAGTTCATATTAAAGAAAATATCGGATTTTCTGGAAGTATACGAAACCATTTTTTTTGCAAAACAGTTACAAACCCTTTTCACACAAAATACTTATGAACTCACCAACTTAATTGTTGACACTTTTCAAAATCACTTGTATTCTCAGGAAACCAGTAGACAGGTACTCAACCCTTCTTGAGAGCCGGCTTCGTCGTTTCATGTTTTTCTACTTTTCAGTTATTTGTATTTAACTTTTGAACAAACAAAGTGTTGTAAACAATGTAAACTTGTATTATCAATGTATGAATGTTTGGGTTGCTATGTTTCATTACTATTCAATTCTTATGATACTGTACATGAAGTCACTCTATCCGCCCCCAGACGTTTCCGCCGTTCTGGTTTGGGGGTGTGACATTAATGAACATGTTTGTTAAGGTTGCTCCATGAGGTAGTTTGTCGTTTACTCAACTAACCACAAAGCAATGCTTTTTTAAATGAAATAGCTAAAAGCTTGAAGATAACTTTCATGCAACAATCCAAGAGGCTAATGAGTTGAAAGTGTTTCAAAGAGACGGGGTCGGGGTCTATAGCTTTGGGAATTAAGGAAATGTAGGATACATTGCATCCCCTGCTAATAACTATAGCCATAGTGGATCCAAAGATATAGTGGGGCTAAGGACGAAAAGACAAATGGGACCCAAAAAATCGTAAATATAATAAAAATTAATTCGAAAATCGACACACTGTTATAAAATTCACAAAATTTACTATTAATTTATTAATATTAAAAAAAAACAAATATGACCATAACACTACAAAAACAATTAATTTAAAGAAAAAATAATTCTCCTCGCATTTTTTGATAAGTTAATTTTTTTTTCTTATATCTAAACCATATATTCTAGGAATTTTGAACCTTTAGAGACATTAACCTAGGTAACTGTCAGGATTACCCACTATTTGGGTGTGCCTGACTACGACTAATAACTCTAAATTACTCTCTTTAAAAAATATGGAGATAAAAGAAAAGAAAGTGCAAGCAATGGCTCCAAAAACCCGCTAAACCCTCAACTTTGGCGGTAACATGTCGGTCAAAATGATGTTTTACAACGGTACCGCTTTTACCTTCCTCGAACACAGCCATCAATGGTCGATTCTGTGCGCCCTAATTTTGGAATTAGCTAGATTTATCTTTTTTATTTAACAAAAAATATTATTTTTTTAGAAGTACATATGGATATATATATATATATATACATCACAACATAATCAGAAAATCCTCCAACTTTCGAAAACCATTACAAATATCGTCCAATATGTTAATTGTTCTTTGGTAAATTTACTTAGAATATTTAACTTTTAAAAATAATAATACGTTCAACAAAAGGTTTACAAACTTTCCAAGGCAATAAGCTATAGCCGTTCAAAGATTAACATAAAAAAGATAAAAAAGAAATAAAAAATCAACAGATACGTCTCTCGCTATCCAATTCACAAAAGTTGTTCTTGCTTCTAGGAATATGGCGGCAGTAGGAGCTTCGTTCAACCATGTCTCAAGAGAATCCTCAGATATCGATCGACTTGCTAACTTCTACCAAGAGGTCATAATTAACATCTATCAACTCCAATTTTTTATTCCATTTACTGTAACTCTGTTTCGATTTGTCGCAGATATTCGGATTTGAACGAATAGAAAGCCCTAAATTCGAATTCAAGGTAATATGGCTAAGGCAATCACCATCTTTCTGTCTGCATCTGATCGAAAGGAACCCAAACACGAAGCTGCCAGAAGGCCCATGGAGTGCAACCGATGCTGTTGCGGATACTAAGAACCTTTTCAGAGGCCATCATCTTTGTTTCACTGTTTCCAATTTTGACTCCTTCGTCAAAACCCTCAAGGTATCTTATTCTTACTCTCATCGCTATAAATAGTTTCACCTTAAACACTATTTTAATTGATTCAGTTTCAATTATCACCAATTTCTTTTCAATTCAGTGACTTATTTAGATTTTTAATTAACGTATGATTAAATTTGTTAGAATACCAATATATGCATGCTTGAATGGGTGAAAATCCCCTTTTTGTAAAATTTGGTAAAGATGTCAATAGTTGCATAAATGGGTAAGATGTCCATTTTGATGCATAAATTGTTAAAACATTAGAATTAGAGGAAGTATAATATTGTAATAAGAGTAATGTCTGAATAAAATAATCTAATTTACAGTCTTAACAAGGCTTTGGAAATTACAATTTATGGAAGTATTGATAGATCAATGTTACTATACTTTTGGAAATTACAATTTCTAAACTTGATGTTTGTGATTGTGAAATCCAGGAGAAAGGTATTGAGATACATGAGAGGACTCAACCGAATGGAAAAACTAAGCAAGTCTTCTTCTTTGATCCTGATGGTGAGTTTTACAAATATATCTCTTTGTTATGTTTATTTTATTTTTATTTTTTTCCTTCTGTTTATATAAATGATTTTTAAAAAATATTTAAGAAAAGAAAGATATACAAGAAAAAGTTAAGGATGGAAAGAGGTCGTTAAACCTTTCAAATATAGAATAGGTAAAATATAATTCACAGTAGATATCTTCTCTTTTAAAAAAGAGAAATTAAATATCCTCCTACTTTTTGTTCCTACAAATCCTCCTATCCAATGAAATAATGACATGTGTAACATTTAATGCTCATTTAATGATATTTTAATACACTAATATGACACATGTCATCATTTAATTGGGTAGGAGGATTTGTAGGAATAAAAGTAGGAGGATATTTAATTTCTCTTTAAAAAAACAGTAGATTATGTTTAATTATACATAAAAATGCTTTTTTCGTTTGTGTAAATGAATCTTTATATGTTTTTACAAATTATATGCATGAAAATGAATATGTAAAAAAATTTAAAAGAGGATTTCTAAAAAAAAACCTAATGTTGATCTGTAATTTTTAAAGCTAAAACAGAAAACAAATACAATACATTTTGATGCAATGTAAAGATTAGTATTTTTAATAAGAACAATTTAAAAAAAATCAAATAAAAGAGTGATTCTTCGATTAGTATTTGAGACTAATTTTATTTTTTTTGTAAAATATCCAAGATAAAATTACCTACAAGTATTAGTATCAATAATATTCAATATTGGTCTTATTTTTAACACATCAAGTTATCAACGAAATCTTTTCAATGGTATAATTCACTTTGTATACTTTTGAAATTTTGTCTCATTTTTATTTATTAATTTTTGCAATTTTGGTCATTGTATGAGGTTTTGTAACATTTTTGTTCTCTTCTCTTGTAGAATGACTATATTTTTGTACTAAAATTGCAAAAACCATTAGAGTAAATTACACAAATGGTCCCTATGGTTTGGGGTAATCTGTGCGTTTGGTCCCTAACTTATTTTTTTTAACTCGGAGGGTCCCTATAATTTAGTTTTGTTTCGAGCTTGGTCCCTAATCAACATAAAAAGACTTATTTGCCCTTATTCATTTCTTTTATCTTTTTTACATTATTAATTATTAAAAAAATATTAATAAATATGTTAAAAAAGATGAGTTAAATATTTTGGTTCTTTAAACTGAAAAACCAAACCATCCAACCCCTCTTTCCCCTTCCCCTCCTTCCCCTTCATTGTGTTATGTCATGGAAAACCACCTTCGGCCACCATCACCACTAACATCCGACTACCACCATCACCACCTTTGCAATTGGAAAAACACCGCTGATGTTAAAATCCAAGAAAAAAAACGCTAACCCAAAAATTCATTCATGAGATCAAAGCTATTCATGAAATCAAGTCAAAAAAATCAAATCATTATTACTTGGTTACCAAAAGTAGTCAAATTACTTGTTTTAATTTAAAAATGATAAATAATATAATATAAAATAAAAATAATATTAAGGGTAAATCAGTCTTTTTATGTTGATTAGGGACCAAGTTCGAAACAAAACTAAACTATAGGACCTTCTGAGTTAAAAAAAAAAAATAAGTTAGAGACCAAACATGAAAATTACCTCAAACCATAGGGACCATTCGTGTAATTTACACAAATCATTATTACTTGGTTACCAAAAGTAGTCAAATTACTTGGAACATGGATAAACAACGGTACACAGTACACGAACCTTAACAAATGACCAAATGTAAAAGAGAACTTTTGGATCAAAATAGCAAAAATTAGCTATACTTATATACTAAAAGTATAACATGCCACATCAACACTACTTCGATATTGAATTTGAGTAGGATATAAAATGAAAATATATAAAAAAAGAGTGTAATATTAGGTTAGAGGGAGTGGTGCCACTCGTTTTTGCCACATCAACACTACTTCATTTTTACCGGATCTCTTAATTGATGCCACACACAAGGAATGGTTTGTCATGCCATTCCACGCCACATTTTTTCTTTTAGTTTTTGAAACAATTTATTTTTGATAAAAACTAAACATTTCATTAATTTAGAATCAAATTACATAAATATATATTTTTCTGAATTTTGACATTCACTGACAAAGCTAATTTCTGCTCTTCCTTGGTGAAGTTACTTAAGTCTTGCATTAAAAGCTTCATGTCACGAGCTTTTTCTTTCTTACGCTCGGTTTCTTGAGAGAACTCCACATATTTTGTCAAATTTGCATTTAGGCCCCCGATCTCTGATCTTACTTCGTGTAGGTCATCCGAAGTTAACGCTTCACCTTTGCCCTTGCGTCTAACCTTGTCCCTTTGCATTGAGTGGGTTGGCAGTGGAACCTCAACGGTGTCATCAACATTAAGGTCGATCCTGACACATGAGCATCCCACGTAGTGTAGTCGGATTCGTATGTTTTTGGCCTTTTAGAACCTCCTATATGTGCTTCGGATGTTCCTATGTCACCATCTTTGGCAATCTTTTACAACATTCCAAAACTCAATATGTTTAAAAGTTTTATTGTGTTCTTTTTGGAATATTTCTAACGTCTTGTTGAAAATGGTCGCATCATTTTCACCACTTGCCCAATTGGCATTCCAAGTTTTAAATAAATCACCAAATACCATAACCTCTAAATACCATAACCTCTAGTGTGCCCCCATTTCGTGTAGGTTGAGTCTTTGTTGTGGTAGTCTCATTGATTCATTCCTATCTGAAAACGTTTAAGAACTTGTCTCCAAAAAGTTTGACATTATTGGTTGTTGTTGAACTTCGGATTCTACGAAATATTAACCAATGCAACAACCTCTCTTCTATCGGGTCCTAAGCTCTATTGGGGGCCTTCCCATTTTTTTGGTTGGGATTGGAATTGGGATTAATTGCAATTGCGATCGCGATTGCGATTAGGGTTAAGTTTCTTGATCTCTTTCATAGGGATCGAATTTGTTTGTGGATTATTAAGTGAATCCAGATTGCATTGGATAGAAACCAAAATACGGTCTCATACAATGTGGTGAATAGATAGGTTGGTTCATTTGTGGATAATAGAGTGATTACGGGTTTGACTTGTTTCTTGTGATTTTTTTTGGTTGTTTGAACATCTGGGAAGATATAGTTTTTACTTGCCGAGAAGAGGACCAAAACTCGATATGTCCAGCACGCCGGCCCGACATGGTGTTTGCTGAACAACATCAACAATGTTGTGCTCTCATGTCGAGCCACTCCATATAGCCTTATAAATTAGAAATAAAATAATTGGTGAGATAAAACTCAAATATGGGTCACATAAAAAGGTCCATCCCATGTGGTAATTCATTAATGACAGGTCCATATATTTTGTAAACCCATCATGTTGGTGCTTTTTAGGCTACGCGGAGTGGGCTCGACATGACCCCAACATGATTTGAGTCAGCTCAAAAAACACCGTGTGTTGTGTCCTTGATATGTCGAACTCATCGAGACAACTCGGTAACGGCTTGTAGAGGAGGGAGAAGGTTTTTTTTTCCCAAAAAATTAAAAACCTTCCTACTTTTCAAAAAACTGAAACTATCAGTTTTTAACTAAAATTTAATTTTTTTTAAATCATTTTTCAAATAATATAAATACCAACACCTATCTTCTTTTCTATCACACTTAAACCTTCAATATTCTTCTTATTTCTCTTAAGCATTCAAGAAGAAACATGGAAAAAAACTCTAAGAAGATACAAGCGGAAAACTTACCATCCAAGCAAAAAAAAACCCCGGAGAAGAAACTAGCAAAAAAGTCAAATAGAAAAAATTCAAACCATCAATCATCCATCTTCTACCAACCTCAAATGGCTCGTCCTATTTATTCACCGCCTACGTTACATTATCCATTATCCTGGTGTCGGTCTATATTATAATCGTCCATCCTAGCCAATTACAATTCTAATCCCAAGCCGATTTCAACCCATTTATGACAATTCAAGAATCCCAACCCTAATTCCAATTCCAATCCCATCCTTAACCCTAAACCCAAACCCAATTCCAACCCTAACCCCAACCCCAACACGTAACCGGCGATCAACCTCAACCGGAGTCGAAGAAAAAAAAGTAAAGGCGTCGATTATGGCTTGGACCTCATAGGAAGAGAGGTCGTTGACACGTGCGGGATTGATGCTTCGACCCGAAGGTTGATAACGACCAAAATGCACCTACTTTTTATAGGAGAGTTACAAGATGAATCCTCACTAAAGTGAAACGAGGCTACTATCAGGAAAAAAAAAATCAAATTTACATGAAATAGAGAAACACTAACAAGTTTGCCATGTAGTTTTAACTCAACTTTTTTTTTATATGAACTTGAAGCGCGATTGGTGCATCAAATATTAACGAATCCTCTTGAAGTCTAATGGAAATTTAAGTGGTTAAATCTTAATTTTTTTTTAGTAGTTTTTGAATATAGACAACTATTCCAAAAAATAGCTTGAAATCAAACCTCAACGAAGCTGACCCAATTGAGGTTCCACGACCTAGTCATCCCATGGGATGAGACCAAGCCAAACGAAAGGTCAAAGGTGTCAAAGATGGTTTAAGTTATTTAGATGATACGACGTGGGACCTGAGGTCTTAAATTCTACGTTGGAAAAAATACCTACACACCGCAAAAGAAAAAGAAAAAGAAAAACCCGACATGAAACCTCACTATCCTGAGGATGAACGAAGGTTGGTGTTAAAAGTTAAAGTCGAGCTTCCAAAAATATAATATATAGTTTTTATTTTTATATGTTTCATGTTTCATATTTTAATTCCAATCTTTTAATTTCAACTGTCTTAAGTTTTATTGTAATTACCTTCCAACTAAATGAAAATTTTAGTTTTATTTAAATTAGTTTGTTTAAATAATAATAAAAAAACGACTTGTTGCATGGCAAACCATCTCCTTAAATCAAAAAAACAATGCCAATGTGACACCAAAAATAATGTGGCATGGGTGACAATACTCCTCCGGTCTTAGTCTTATAGGATGCTTCTCTTTTGACTTAATGAAAACGGAATATAGGATTTTCTGTTAAGTCATAACTTTTTTTTGAAATCTAATATCATATAATTTTTTTTCAAGTGTGTAATTATTTTCTGGAATATTTGTTAAACTATCATTTATCTGAAATCTTTTCCAAACATCAAGAAAAAAAAGCATGGCCTAAAGTCCTATTTGTGTGAAGTGAAAAAAAAATGTTTCCATTTTTGTCGATGTTCCTTTTTGTACGAAACTTGCTGGACATCATGTGTCTATATCCCTTTGCAGGTAATGGATTGGAGGTTGCTAGCCAGTGATGACCTAGAATAGTGACTTGGATATGTCCTTTTTAGTCTTAAAACAAATGTAAGCATTATGTATTTTAGTCATGTAATTAAAAACAAACCAAAATTGTATGATATATGGTTAATAAGAGCTTAAATATTTCTCCATAACATGTTCTTAATGATGTTATCGAAATTAAAGTGTTTAAACCTAATATGTGTAAATTAGGTGTCTGACATGAGCTCTACTTACATAAGAGCTCATTGATCCCATATTGAAACTAGAACTCTCACAATGTTGAACATTTTGGTATTTTACAAGTATATTATCTCATGTATGCCCTTATAGATGGGTCCTATGACAACATATGAAGGTAAATCATATATCACTAATGTTAAAAAATATTATGGTGACTTAAAGCTTAGATCTTATTCATGGATTATTACTTTTTTTTACCATGTTCATTAATTGGTTCGTATATGTTTTTAACCAAAAACATTACTGAAAAAATAAACAAATATAATACCTATTTTAAGTGTTTCCAAAAGTTGACCAAAATTTAAGAAAATCCATCCAAATAACAACACATTTCGGATTTTTTTTAAACGGCTGAATTTAAATTGAAAGGAAACTAAGAAATAGCTAGAAAAGAGAGATTAAAGAGTAATGGCAACCATTGGATTTTTAATCCAACGTGTCTAACTTAAAAAGACATTTTAAGGTTTCTAAATGCTAACCGGTTGCAAGAAAGAAAAAAATAACATTTTCAAAGATCATATTTCTACGTAATTTTTTGTTGTCAAAACATTGCAATCTGGTTATTTCAAAGCTAGAACCCAAATTATAGTCATGCAAATGGCTTCGATCACCAACTTTCTAAAATTCACCTTGTGTTTATCACATCAATCTATATCTATTTCACAGGGTTAATGTGAAATGAGCTCTTCATATATGTCTTTTGTTTTACAACATATATTTTATAATTTTTTTTTCTTAGTTTAACACTTCGTATTAGAAATTTAAATCTGTTGTTTGTAGTGAAAATGGTCTTTGAAGACCCTTATCACAAAAAATAAATAAATAAATAAATAAATAAAATAAAATAAAATAACCCTTCAACAAATATGTTTTTTTATAGGGAAAATTTCATAAAAATCTGTAATTTTGTTTTTTTATTGATTTAACCACCATAAGAATTTTTTTTTATATATTAACCAATAAGAGTTTTCTTTTATTTTCAAAATAAACACTCCATAAAACTTTCAATTCTATAAAAACCATGAGAGTTTGAATATTGTTTGATTTAACCATTTGAAGAAATTTTTATTTTCAACTTAACAATCGATAGTTTGAACTTTTTTTAACAAAACGATCATTCACCGAAAAAAATAATTTTATGTTTGATATTTACAACTCACTAATGGAAAAAGACGTAGATTGGTTTTTCTGAAAAATAAAAGAAACTTTCAATGGTTGACGACGGGGATAGGGTGGATTCTGACGGACAGAAATGACGTACAGAAGTGACGGACATAAATGACAGACATAAGTGACGGACATAAGTGACGAACAAAAATGACGAGCAGAAATGGCGGACAAAAATACAAGGCCCAACGTGCAGGCCCAAAATACATGGCTCTCACATTTTACTTCTATATTTAATTGTGTCACACTCATACAATAAGAATATATATATATATATATATATATATATATATATATATCTATATATATATATATATATATATATATATATATATATATTGTTACTTGTTGATCAGAACGTGTTGGTTGAGCATATCAGAATATCTTGAGCTAAAAGATGGTCACGATTCAAATTGATGAACAAATTCTCCACTTAATTCGGATTGAGGAAGCGGAGCCAATGTTTGCAGTCCTGGAAAAGGGCAAGAAACTCTAATATCCAACTTTCAGCTTTGATCGATTTCTCTCGTTGAAAACTGACTTTACCATCGAAGTGTCATCTCGGGTCCCCACCCGAGATTGTTTAAGGTATCACCGGAGTCAAGGCTGAACGAAGACAGAGCGAAGATTCGTGGCAAGTCTCTTTATCTCTACCGTCTCGTGAACCCATGTATTCATCATTGGCACTATCCATGGGACCCTGAACAAAAACCACAAAGGCAAATATGGATTTTGGATCAGGGAATTCCTCTCACAATCATATCCCATCGTTTCCTAACTTGGGAGAACGACTAGTTGTAACCAACATCACTTCTAGGGAGATTGACTTCTTGTCGTCGATAACTGAAGCATCCGATGTAACACCCACCACACCCATCATGACCTCCACGGTATTGGTTGTAACGCCCACACCCACGCCGATGCCGATAGTAATGCCTGTAACGGCTACATCCATGATGCCAATAGTAACGCTCGCACCCACGACGATAATCCTCGGAAGTAGAACGAGACTAGATCTTGGAACAACCCAAGGTATGATGACCCATGGAGCACAACACACGGTATCCTCAAACATAAAAAACACGATCCAGGGTATGAACACACCAACTCCGTTCCATCCATATGACACATCAACTCTAGTGACGTTCTTCACACCAGGCATGTCTGCTCCGGTAACTATGCCTTTCTCAATAAATGAAAGTGCAATTCGCATCCTGAACCAACCTCCTACGTATAGTGAAAACTTCACGTATCTAGGAATGAACTTTCCTATGGCAAGACCTAATATGACAATAAGCCAACCACTACACATGTCTTATCCTTCCCATGTCAATCACTTTAGGGGGGGGGGGTGCCATATCTTAACAACCTCCCATTCCACAACATACCCTTGGGTCAAATCAGCCAATCAGTGACAACTGCCTTCCCCGTTCAAGCCTAGTTTCTGTGTTTCTCTTACCCAAATCACCCTCAATACCAGTATTATGCTACGCCTCCGCTTCCTCAATCTCAATCGGGACACATATACCAACCCTTCCATCCTCCCTTCCTCGGCATGGATCACACCAACCAACATTACTACCAATACAAACACAAAAGAGCCTCAACTTCCCCGTTTGAAGCAGAGATCGAGCAATATCAATTACCTGCTGGTACCCGTTTGCCAACCATGAAATCATACGACGGTTCTACAGATCTGGAGACCATATCGAGGACTATAGATGGATGATGAAAAGCCTATTACATTGACCCACGCTTTTGGTGCACATAGTTCGTCACCACATTATCTGGACCAGCGAGATCTTGGTTCAAAAGTCTATCACCGAGGAGTATTAGAGATTTTGAGCACTTGGAAGAAGAATTTCTGCCCAACTTTATTCAACAACGAAAACTCACTTACGACCCTCAGGCTCTTCTTGGGTTTCGACAACGTGCAGATGAAACAACGGAGGCATACTTTAAAAGGTTTAACAAAGCTACTTTGCAGGCCCCTGGTAGGGCCGACAACATGATCGTAGCGGTGTTTACTTACAGTCTCAAAGAGGGTCCTCTATTTTGAAAACCGGTAGGAAAACCATCGAGTACACGGAAAGAGTTGATGGAAAGAGTAAGTAGATATTTGAGACAAGAAGAAGCGGTGGTCGAAAAATCCAGGATAGAAAATGGGGCCAAGAACACTAGACCCAACGTGATGGAGAGGTCACAAAGTGGTAACAGGGGGAATCACCTCAATAGGGGCCGCTACCCAATCACAGATTCCAACCCTTCAATAGGGATACACATCGGGAATCAAAGAAAGAATTTTTAGCGATCACAGATGGGAAAGACACATTAGAAGGGAAGGTACCAGAGAAATATCCTCCAAAAGTCAATAACAAATATTGTGAGTATCACTCGAGTCATGGTCATGATACAACGGAGTGCAACATCTTAAAGAAAGAAATTGAACGTCGCCTAAAGTCTGGGCAATTGAACATATACATCATGGATATGAAAAAGAAAAGTTATAAAGATAAACGATCAAGAGACAAAGAAGTGACCAGTAAGCATAATGAGAAGGATATTTTAATGATCAAGTCAAGAGATTTTAAGCGAAGAGATGACCCTAGTCGTCCCAGCGGGGGTGACCTTACATTTACCGAAAATAAACCTATCCCTAAAGACCATAGGGTAGACGAGCCCCTCCTTATCCAAGGAGTAGTAGACAGAGTTCAGGTGCACAGGATATATATGGCGATGGTGGCAGCTCGTCGGAGGTGATATTCAAACATTCTTTCCAACATTTCCCAGCAAGTACAAAAGCAAAACTCAAAGATCCTTCATCCCCTCTCATTAGCTTCGACGGACGCTCACTTTAGCCTCTTGTCATCATTACTCTCCCCCTCACAGTGGAAGACTATAAGGGAAGCGTAAAGAAAACAATTGATGCTGAATTTGTTGTGGTCCGGGCACCTTCCCCATACAACATCATCCTCGGTCAAGCAGGTTTAAGGAAAATCAAATCCTTTCCTTCTACGTTGCATGGGTTAGTCAAATTTTCCACCCCTAAAGGGGTTGGGATCATGGTATGTGTCGTATTGATCACACCACGCTGCAACCAAATAATGGACTCCGAATAGCTTGACCTCTGAGATAAACGACAACGAGATCATGAGGACGAAGAATTCATATATAAAAAGTACACGGATCAACCAATAAAGATAAGAGTTTCACTTCCCCCGTGACTTAAGAAGGAACTCTGAAAACTCCTTCGAGACAACATGGGTATTTTTGCTTGGACACCTTATAATATGGAAGGAATATCACGAAACTTGTTTGAACACAAGCTTAGCCTTATCCCAGAGGCTCATCCCATCAGGAAACCAAAACGCATGTTGGCAGGTGAAAGGAGCAAGGAAGTGAATGAAGAGGTCGATAAATTGGTCAAGGCAAAGATTTTAAGAGAATCCCTATTCCCTGTGTGGATATCCAACCCGATCTTGGTTAAGAAAGGAGACGGATCATAGTGTATGTGTGTAGACTATAAAAGTCTCAATAAGTATTGTCCTAAGCATTGCTACCCCCTCCCCGAAATCAACCAAAAGGTTGAATCTCTAGAAGGTTTCCGATGGAAGAGTTTCCTAGATGAGTACAAGGGATATCATAAAATTCACATGGAAAAATTCGTTGAAGATAAAACATATTTCTATACAGATCGAGGAACCTTTTGTTACACCAAAATGCCATTCAGTATAAAGAATATAGGAGCCACTTACCAACACATGGTGGATAAAGTTTTCAAAGATCAAATAGGACGCAATGTTGAGGTTTGGATAACATGGTTATAAAAAGCAAGGGGGAGGAAACCTTTATTAGTGACATCAATGAAACATTTTGCAAGCTAAGAGAAGTAAAGATGAAGGTAAATCTAACTAAATGCATGTTCGGTGTGAAGGGGGAAAGTTTTGGGGTACATAGTATCTAACAAGGGAATCCAAGAAAATCCCGACAAAGTGGAGGCCCTAGTCACCATGCGACCCCCAAGGACTTTGAAAGAGATACAAGGTCTCAATGGCAAACTAGTAGTGCTAGTCCGATTCCTTGCTAAGTCGGCAGAGAAGTCGTTACCTTTCTTCAAGACCCTCAAGGGATGCATAGATAAGAAAGATTTACATTGGACACAAGAAGACAATGAAGCCTTCACCAAGTTAAAAGAGTGTCTCAAACAGCTCCCAACATTGGGTTGTCTAATTCCTAGGGAAATGCTAATGATCTATCTTTCTGTTGCATCAGAAGCCATTAGCGCAGCGTTGGTCGCCGAAAGAAACAAAAAGAAGGTCCCTATCTACTTTGTCAGTCGAGCATTGAAGGGCCTAGAGATAAACTACCCCCCCCCCCCCCAATGGAGAAGTTGATGTTGGCTCTTGTTCATGCAGCAAGACGAGCTAGACGTTATTTTCATGCACATCCCATGCATGTACTCACCGATCAACCTATTCGACAGGTATTACCCAAACCAGAACGTTCTGGAAGGATGGCCAAGTGGGTGGTTGAGCTTGGTGAGCACGACATACAGTACCGTATAAGAATAAGCACTAAGGGACAAGCATTTGCAGATTTCCTTGCTAAGATCCCGCATGATACAGATGCCCAAACCACCCTAGAGTCCCATATGAAAGATTAGAGTAGTCATCAAGATGGTCACAATGAAAAGGAAACTATCGAGGAAGAAAATTGTTGGATATTGTTCACAAATGGAGCCTTAGAGCAGGGGCAGGTCTTGTACTCACTAGCCCCAGTGGAGAAACAATCACGTACACATTATATTTTGACTTCGAAGCTTCCAAAAATGAGTCTGATTATGAAGCCCTTATTACGGGAATGAAGTTGGAACAACACCTTGGAGAAGAACACTTAAAGGCATTTGGTGATTCTATGTTGGTGGCAAACCAGGTAAACGGATCATACGAAGTACGCGAGCCACATCTACGAAAGTATTTGAATGAGATAAACAAAATTATTAGTAGGTTTAAAACATTTATGATTGAGTAGGTACCCCGATCAAAAAACAAGCAAGCCGATGCGCTGAGTAAAATGGAAGCTACAACTTTCCCCCATCTCACAAAGGAAGTGCTCGTAGAAATACTGCGACAATGTAACACAGAAGAAAAAGAAGTCAACGACATCGATTCCACCACTCAAAGAGACTATTGGATGACTCCTAGTCCACGAAATCCTATCCCACTGTTGGATTAGGTGTCTAAGCCCATAACTATAATTGGTATATACTTGAATTGATAGTAACACAGTCCTTTTGGGTTTCCCTCAAACCTAACAATTGGACATGATGACTTTTGGAGAGAGAGGTTAATTTATTATTTGATTAATAAATTGAAATAAGAAGTTTATTAATATATTATGAAAATAATATGTTAATTATAAAATTTATTATTTAATTAATAATTGTTCAGAAGTTAATTAGAATTAATTCTGGGATTAATATAATTAATTAAAAGTGTAGGGTCTGAAGTGTAAGTGTTCAATAGTTGAACAAAAGGTTCCAAAACCTTCGATCTTAAGGGCTGGACGATTTTTGGGGATATTCTAGGGTTTCTAGAATATTCCATGTGGATAAATAAGGAGTTGGATAATTACCAAATTTGAATTAATATTATTTAATTCAAATTAGGATTATCTAGGGTTTCCTTATACCGGTATATAAAGGACCCTAGCCCTTAGAATTTCAGCTACCTCTTCTTTCCAAAGGAATAGCCAAAATTTATAACTCCCCTCTCCTCCTTCAAGTCATCTTCTTGCTAGCTTTGGTGTGATTCCATTAGAGGCACGACATTTGTGGTGCTAGCTTCCAAGAGATCTACTAGTGAAGGATCATTGTTATTTACTAGAATAACACTAAGGTATGTAATTCTAGATCTTTTTTTGGTATTTTTGAAAATAGCCTATACCATCTAGGGTTTTCTTATTTGATGTCCGTAGTTATAGGTTCAATAGTGAAAACATAGATCCTTAGGTTGCATGTGAACTTAAGGGCTTTAAGTTTATTTGTTTTGCATAAAACCTATGAGTGGGATCAGAGTGTTTGGTTTGTTTTCGATTGAATAACTATAATTATTGATTTAGATCAATTAGGGTTTATAGAAATTAAACCCTAAAAGGCCAAGAATTTCGACTAGGGTTAGAGTTTTTCGAAACCCTAGCCCATACCCCTTGGATTTCAAAATTAGGGTTGGGGTTTTGAAACCCTAACCTTCCTCCCTAAGTTTTCGAAAATATGGTTTGTAGTTAGGGTTTCCTATTTTAGATAATTGTTAG